GACAGCCCTCCTTTCCGTTGCTTTACCAGATGGGGACCAGTTCTGGTTACCACGCACTGTACAAATGAGTGAGTAGACGTGCGGCCGAGAAACGTTCCAACTGAGTGGCCTCACTTGACGTTGAGGTGCGGAGCTAAATCATTTGTTTGTACTTTATTGGACGAAAAGGGATCACGCTCAACGTACTGTCTATGGCCGACTGCCCAAACATGTGCCGAATTTGATATATTGATACTTTGAAATAATGACCGACCACACCACAAGGTCCAGAGAGTTGTGTCGACACAGCTGATAGGTTGAGCAATAAGTGAAAAATGGATAGGCTACATAGATCAACTTAGGATCTCGAGTGGCGGCATGTGTCTGGTCAAATCCAAACAGCTATCGCTGTGCCCACATGCAAACTACAATGCCCGAGCTATATTTTGCGGCCATCGGAAACTTTGTATCAACTCAAACGTTCCAGTCCGACACAGGTGTAGTTTCCGATTCGGTTGAAGGCTCCAACCCCCGCAATTTTGAGAAGAATGTTGGTCAAATCCAGCGGGAGACTTGTTTGCCGGCGCAGTTCCGGGTTGCGTTTCGTCATTTTGAAATGTTGTCCCCTCCTCAATATATTTTGCAAAACTACGTCCCTGCCAGCACATAAGTGTTAGAACAGGGCACGTGCATGCTTAGGGATTGCAGGTATGATGTCATGCCTTACAGCTGGTAAGTAAGAGGGAAGGAGTCCCCGTGTGGCTTTCCATGATGGATACGTCAGACGAAATAACAAAACAGACAAAAGAGTTGAGGCCTAGTGTTGTCCTTCCAGTGGCGGCGACATGGCTTAAAACGACATGGACCTGTTTGACGATTTGATCGCAAATATTTCCCCCGAAAACACCCACACATCCAAAAACTTCCTCAAAATCGAGAAAAATACACCTTCAGTGTTGCCAAAGGAGACAGATTTCCTAAATTACGACAGGTGCGTCGAAATTCACTCCATTGACGGTTTCCAGTCCACCGTTTGAAGAAGCAAGTGGCTACCAGGCCTCTGCATAGGTCAAGGGGGCACGGCTATCACATTTCTTTGTTCACGCAAGCGTCATGAAAGCTGTCTATGATCTGTTCAGATCAGAGCCATTGTGTGCATTCTCTTTTCAGATCGCCTTGAATAGGAGGTCACGGTCTTGGAATATGCGCGTGTTTTTATTGACCTCTCCGCGCAAGGTACGGTTTGCTTATCTGCATCTTTCAACGCAAACACGTCACCAGCAGAATCACCACAACAGGTGAACAACGTGAATGGATTCCATGAGTCTGTTCTTTCCATGCAACACCAGACACCTATACTTGAGGTTTTTTCCCCGAAATGATGAGGATGTAGCCCATTCCTCCGAAACACCAAACCTCCGCCCTAAGCGGCAGCTTCGTGGGACAAGATACGCTTTGGTGGTTTATTGGCAGGTGGCAACTTCGTCAATGAACGCCTAGAAATATTCTGGGATAAGGCTGTGACGCACATGAGATGCTGATTCTGACGGTGCGCTGATTCCTTGCTGGCAACTACGTAACACAAACACGGCTGCTGCCGCTCGAGGATCGCTCATTCGGCTTTTAACCAAAAGCGGCCGGATGTCCCGGCCATTCATCGGCCACAAACAACGGCCCGCTCTCACCCGGCTTCAGCCCCAACCTGCCATTACGTCTCACATGAATGGAATAATTGGTTCAAAGGTACGTCAAGGCAATTGCCAGCAGCGGTTTCACGAATGGCCGGGTATGTCCCGTTTCGCTTCGACTTGGATTGGAACCCTTTCGGCCATCAACGACCATTTAGGGCAATGGGATGAACTTAAAGGAGGCTGGCTATATGATGTGTTAGGCCATATGCATCTGAGATACTACGCCACAGAGACTACCACCGTGCAGGGCTACTACTCTCTTCGGGGTTCGTGCGTGATCTGCGCTGACTCTTCAGCTGGCTTTCTTTTTTTGCTATTCATAGAGCTGCAATCTTCTGGATTGCCGAACTTACATCCTTGCGATGTCCAGACGATGATTAAAACCAGTTTTACGAGGAACAGCATTTGCATCCGATCAGCGAATTAAGCGGAACTTCCTGGGTTTGACATGCCTCTCATCATAGAGGCCCTTGATCATATGTCGTATGCACTGGTTGTTGATTGTTGCTGTCTAAGTGAAACTTTGTATCTCTTTGAGAAGGCATGCCCCCCCCCCTCCCCACTCCTAAGTTAAATACCCACGCCCACAATTCGTCATATCCAATGCCAAAGGCACTGGAGATGAAACACGGCAAAATTCTGACCCAGTTTCCTTCCAAATATGGGCTTTGACCCCATAATATATTTTACGAGATTCCACCGCTGTCGTTCCCTGAACTACACAAACCGCTTTCACTGGAATACTGGCTACTGCTATCACAATCTTCCTGCACTTTTTGTACGGCCCACGCGGACGCCGAGGAGCGTTTCCCGGATGACTGACAACGTGCTCTCAAGTAGGAGTCAGGTTGACTAGCAAATAGCAACGCTGCCCCGGCAGACAAGCTTCTGTAATAATTTGAACCCCATTTTTGTTTCGCTTGGATTACAGCCTTTTTGAACGTCCCTGACAACCTCAAGGCAGCGACTTTTAGGAGAATGGAAAGTTGTGGAGCAAGTTGGCATGCACCTGGAGGTCTTCAACCGAGACGTTCCGCCAGGACCTCCGTTCGGAGTATGCGCTGGGTGCCCCAAAAGCCTCCCCCAAAAAACAGGAGGGGCCATCGTGAATTTTGGTCCTCCAAAATAAGTTGTAAAAGATGTCAGGAACGCGGCCAGGGCATCTTTCCAAAAGTTATTTATTACAACTTGCTGGACGGTGGAAGCTGAAGCCGATGAGAAAGTAAATAAAAACCGACATTTTACATGATTTCCCTATTTTGGAAGCAAACTGAATGCTGTTGCTAATAGTAGCACGAACAACAAACGCCAACAGTATTCTGAATAGCTTGTTGATTTGGCTTTTACAGAGGAGAAGTCGCTGGCACGGTGGCACGCGGTGTTTGTTTAGTCATCGGTGCTTAACGGGTCGGTTGTCCGGACAGTCCTTGTTTTCATGATATACCTCACATACAGCTGCTCATCGAGCACATGCAGCTGCGTTTTATTTGTGGCAATGGGCCCGCATGGCCTTGTGGTGCACCGGTCACTCGTCAGGGCAGTGCTGCCGCGCTGCCAGAGTTGTGGTAACGGAAGGGGCCCAGAGCTTTTGCGGATCCCATAATACTCCCCCCCCCCCTCCCGTCCACCCAAAACAGAAAATACCGCAGTTGGTCTACTTCTCGAGGGCCCCCAATTTGCTCAACTTTTATCCCGTCATACCGGCGGGCGTGCTCCTTGAAGGACGTCATAGATGAATCCTAAGGGAGCTTTTTTCCTGGGCCGCGAACCCAGAAGGCGGGATTTACTAGGGGATTCACAGACCACCTTTCCCGGTCAGCGGCTGAAGGACCTTTCCGTTCCAGTCCGAAGTACTCACCGGATACTATCCTAGCGACACGGGGCCTGCGGTTCCTGGGTATTCCAGAGGCTCTCAAACAGGTAAATCATACATCGGCCCCGGGACGATCCATTTACACCATGTGAACTTGGCGCAGAAAGCCTCTGACCGGCGCGTTTAATTGCGGATCGACGCAGTAGCCCCACTGACGTCATAGCTTCCATTGACGGCGTCGGTGGCCCACAATCGGCACATGGACCCCAAATAAGCTTATTGGTCCGCTCACCACTGGCCGGAGCGGCACGGACGGGCTTCCGTTCGCTACTGGGGCCCGGTTCGTTGTTGGTGTTCTTTGACGGGGAGCGCCTACATTATATAATTGTGAACCCTTACTTTGTTAGTAATCAAGTCTAGTTCCAAGGCCGTATATCATATCTCCTTCATGTGTCATTCTCCTTTCACTGTCAGACTACCCCCCCCCCCCCCCGCCCCGCCTGAGATGGCCCCTACCATCGCCGGCGCTTCATAAAATGGTGTGTGACGATGTGCGACGCGTTGCCCGTAAAAAAACGCGAAAAGCTCTCGGACATTCACAGGCATTGTCTCTGCTTGGGAAATGGGCCTCACGTTGACAGCGGGCCAATTGATCACTATTAAAGGTCTCTGACCGTAGTAGGGGACCATCGTGCTGGGGGACCCCGAACGCCGCAAGAGGCCATCGTGTCCAAAAACGAGGGTTCCGGTCCTCTGGGATGGAGTTTTAAGGGCGTCTGTGGGGGCCCTTCGGCTCATCCACCCAGCCTTGCAACCGTGCCCTTGATCGTTGATCCGGGGGCCTTTTAGGTCCCCAGGAACCTAAGTAGGGGTGAGAATGCGTGCTCCCTGTGCCCCACCCCTACGTGCGCCTCTGGGAATATGAAGGTCCCACAAAGCAAGCGCCAACAAACGCTGTACAATTCTTTTTTTATCGTGTCAAACGCTATTGCAGTAGAATCGTTTCCCTTAAAAGGTGAAAAGGTAATTCAGTAAGCAATTTAAGCGAAGTGAGCATCGCAGACTGCTGAAAATATGCGTGGGGTATTCTGGATCGGCAATCCACAACCTGGATCTGGAGCCCCGATATCCCCAAATCACGAATCCAAGTCCAGCGATGTCTTGCCATTGTCATAGCCCGACTTTACAAACTGGGTACTGGACTAAAGAGAGGTCAAACTAGGGTTAGGTTATATTATTCGGTGACTATGATCCCCCCCCCCCTCCCTCTCCCTAAAACGGAGGTTGGATCTGCCAATCCTTGTAGCTAGTGCATTTCACCATTAACAGTGGAACTATCTTGGAAGACCAACCCTAGTATTTACCAGAACTGTATCGAGGACTAATACGGATACGGTAGGAGATTTTAGTACAATTTCTAGTCTTCCGTTTTGACCGCTCTAATCAGTGCACGAAACCTGAAGACTTCGCTTCCCTTCTCTCCCGACCTCGCGAATGCCCTGACGCCCGTTACTCACCAGATCGTCATGATGTAGTAGGGCGTCCAGCAGACGATGAAGGTCAGCACGATGACGAACGTCATCTGCATGGTGCGCTGGCGCGCACGTACGAAGAAGCCCGAGTCATTGGCGCGAAACAGCGTATCTGCAACCACAGACACATGCCAAGCTGAGGACACAGGGCAGGCTGCCAGGGCTGCGCGAGTAAGGGGCTAATGGCTCTATTTTGCACGAAAAAAACACGGCGCTCCGTAGAAGTGGATAACTTACGTGGTGTTGATGGACGCATCTGAAATGAGCATATTAGAACGCTTTAGAACATCACTTCGTGTGGTTAGAAGGCAGTCCTGGCGCATATTCCACCTAAGCAAATTGATGGAATGATAATATAAACGGATAAACATTTAAAGCACTCCGAACTGGTGATGAAGTCTGGTGGTGGAGCTAGAAGGGTTAATGAAACATCTCTGTTTTCCGTGTTGCAGTAACCATTGATCTGTTCAGAAGACATCCTACAAATAATGTAAGTGAAAATGCCTCTAGGTCATCCTTGAACGGTACGAACTGATTTTGAAAGTCTTTCGGAAACACTATTTCACGACGGTCGCCTCGCGCACCCGGTACCCGCCCGCTGTCCTGGCGTAATCAGCGGCCGCCAACGCCACTAGGTCTTACGGAAAATGCAAACTCGACCATAGCTCTCCTGGCTCCCGAGATTGCGAGCGCGCAGGATCAACATTTTCTACGTCACCCATCTCACGACTCGGTTTTACACAAGAATGGGCTGGGCTTTCCGAAGCAAACATGACCTGGCCTTTCCTCACTTCTGACCTCAGATCGATCCACTGTCTTGAGCACTAAGGTGACACATTATATCTTTCCGGAGAAGGGGCCCCGTTAGATCAACATTAGGGTCCATTATCATTCCCCGCCCAGGGATGATGAGCCATTCCATCCCAGGGCGGGTACCTACCAGCTGCCATTCTGATGGCGAACCCTGGTCGATCCAGAAGCCCGTAGAGATATGCGTCATGCAATGGTCCACTCCTCGACGTGGGAAGCACTTTGACCTGGATGATGGGCTCCAGATCGACACAAGTACCCTCATTCACGCAAAAAGCTTCCTTATTGCTGCGCAAGGTTCGATGATTGTGTGGGAGATCTCTGTCCGAAAAGCGGGCTGGCTTAGTCCCAGGAAGTCTCCAAACGGTGTAGGAGGACACTCTGATTGACATTTGAGGCCACAAACCCTCAGGCGGAGGTTCTCAACTTTCGCCATGCTGGGAGTTGATGCATCCCCCTGATATTTTTGGAAAACATCGCTCCGACATATCACGCAATTGCGCACAAATTTGCAATAGCCTCTGAGGCATCCAACGCGCGTCATCTGACGCCACAGTGCGCTCCTTGCTTTTAGTATCGGAGCAGCGCCGGCTTTTGAGGCGTACTGCGCGGCGGTACACGGCCTGAACGGGCGGTTGACGGTGGCAGACGGTGGCACGGGACGCGCGCGGTGGGTCGACATTGTTGCATCAACGGAGCGATGCATCATAATTTGACGCTCAAAACGCCTACAAATACGCTGCGTTGTACTTAAAATAAAACGGGGAATGTACCTGTTTAACTTTCGTGTCGCCACAAAGCATGATATCGTAGGTATCATGTTGTAAAGCTGAGTAAGTACGATGTTCTGGAAAATCCGACCTTTGACCTGTCATAATAGAGTCGATTATTGATCTAGCAACATGTAAACTAGAACGAATGGCGAAATTCTGTTGAGACCAATCCAATAGCGTGTTTTGCTAAGCTCTATCTTTCATAACTTGGAAACGTCAAGGGATGGAATAAAAGTTGGAACCCCTTATCAGTCCGCGCTATCAGGGTGAGGATTAAAGGGGATGTACTACGTTTGGAGATATTGAGGCAAGCATCAGATCTGATGCAATAAGCTAACTTGTAACTACTGACTTGCTTTTAAGCGCAAAAACTGCTGTAAACCAGAAAATTTAATTAGAAACTACGCACCTCAGTGTGCCATCGTTTGGCTGCGCCATGGAAGGTCTTTATGACGTCATTCGCCGCCACACTGGCCGTGTGAGAACTGCCACTGTAGCGGACGGGCTGACTCACTTGCAGTATTTCGCTTGTAGTATGTTGCTGGAAGGCGTTTGTGGAACGGAATGTCGCCATGTGTTCATGTGCTTACAATATTTCAAGACAAATGCCAGAAATCCTGCTGACTTACACCACGAACAAACAGCTCGATAATGCCATTTTGGGGTTTTGAGCATTACGTGGCAAATAGGGTGGTAGGATTCGCGTGGCGTTTCTGTAGCTGTCCTGCGTGACTGGGTAATTTTGGCATAACCTGCACAGATAGTCTGCACAAGTCGCGGACATCAACATCCGAAACCAGTGGTTCTTAGCCTGAGCAGGACTTCGAACCGCACCGAATGATCTTTAAGTCATGTTTACCATTCAACGCCGAACGGGTGGTGGTATTGATTTTGTTGTCACTCCAGATTTGAGTGTCAACTACCAGGCTTCATCCACGTTAAAGGCCTCTCTATGACACCTGTTCTTATCTCCCATAACCAGGAACAGTGGTTCAAAATTTAAAAGCTGCTGGAGATCTGGACAACAGGGTTGAGCCTTTCCAGTGGATAATTTGATCACTCTCCAATGAAAACTCACCCTATCTTGGGACTCGCCTGTGATGACTTCTTTGAAGTGCCGCTTCACATAAATTTGCCATCTTCAAAAATGTGGGAGCCTCTTATTGACATCGATACGGTTCAAGCCCTTGTACGCTTTTATCTTGTTTTATTTTGTTCTAGTTAAGTCCTAACCTTTCGAGTGAATGAGCTTCTGGAATCAGTGTTCTCATTGAGCTTTCCATGTTACGTGAGCCCTGACCACCACCTATCTGATCGTGAAATTTCGGGTCAACGGCAGAGTTTTGCGGCGAGAGCTTACGTGCTGCAGTGTTCAGCTCGGTCCGCGCTGCCCTCTGAGGTCACTTAACCTCTAGCGCGGGGGCTGCCACCGGCCGCAGGTCATTTCAGTCATGGAGGCTGACAGTATGCGCCTGACGGGTCCCGAACCCATCCCGAGGCATAAACGAAACGGAAAAGGCAACGGATGGGTGGATTGGAAGGCAGATGCTCTAGCCAGCTGATCTTTCGTGATACCGGATCGCTTTCAGATGCGATGCAGAGGTTTGTTAACACGCGCTCGGGCGGGGGTCAATTTGAGCCCCCTCCCCGAAAGTTTTCCCGTAATGATTTCCGAACGGTGCGGTGTAGCCACGCTAAATTCTGCATAGCTGCATTTTTATGTATATTATTTTTTATTATTGAATAGCGGATCGTCTGACACCTAAAATTTAGATGAATCTTGGAAGGTCGCTGACCTATGGTAGGTCAAAGTCAGGTCATAGTTTCAGCGAAGGCACGTTCTAGGGAAACGTTCAGTCCGATCAAACAACGGGTGTTAGACAAAGCCATGCATCTCTGAGATACTTTCTGAGGCAACACACCAATTGAATAGATAAATAACACTGACCTAGGGTCAGCTATAAAGGGCAGATCAAGGTCAAAGCCAGCCTGTTTTATTACTCTCGGGCTTGCTGAATGGGCTGATTTCTGGTGCTCATTTTGAATATATCGTTAGCAGGAACCGCATTATATACCTTCCATGGACTTCTTATAGGTCAGAATAGGTCACTGACCCAAAATGACCCAGGTGAATATTTTGCTTTTAGGAACATACTGCCTAGCGTAGTCTTTGTCGCTTATCCAAATACGCAACTCAAAGCATTCTGATATCATTTTGGTCATCATGACCTTTGAAAGGTCAAACAAGGTCATTGACCTTATCTGAGCGTGTGACATTTCCCTCAGAACAGTTGTCTAAGGTTCTAGGGGTCCTTTGGAGACCAATCTGGAATTGGACCTTGTTTGACCTTATCTGACCCGAAGGTCATGAGCTAGGATCTTGAAACTCTGACTTAAGTGAGTTCACATACAGATTAACACATTCTGTGAATTTGGCTTCTCTAGCTCTCTTAGTTCCCGAGAACTCAGGAAGGGAGGTCAAATTGACCCCTCTACCCGAGCAGAGTATCCAACCGGCCACCCGGGCGCGTGGTTAAAGATCAGACAAAGTCACTGGACTTAGCTGAGCGTGCGACATTATTCTAAGAAAAGTTTCCTAGATTTCAGGGGCCCTTTGGAGACCAACCTGAAATCTGACCTTGTTTGACTTTGTTGACCCGAAGGTCATAACTTAGGAACCACAAACTTTGGCCTAAGAGAGTTCACGTATGGGTCAACACACTCTTTAAATTTGGCGTCTCTAGCTCCATCGGCTCCTGAAATCTCAGGGGGGAGTCAAATTGAACCCCCCACCCGAGCAAAGAGCATCCAACCGGCCACCCGTGCGCATGTTAAAACCAGCCAATGTTCACTTTGCTGAATTATGAACCAAGACAACGGTCAACCTATTACATATTGATTTAATAACTGCATGTTCAAAATTATGCCAGATCGAACTAAATGTTGGATCAAGGCATATGCCTACAAATCTCCTTTTTCCTACCCACATAGGCTGAAGCGAGTCGGTTTCTTCAGGTTTCCCTTTCCCTCTCCCTCTCCCCCCTCTCCCCTTTCTCTTGTCGGTGCCGGATGAACCCCTAACATTACAGCAAGCCGCTGCCAGTTGAGCTCGGCGCTGGCCGTTCGGACTGGTGACGTGTAAGACGGACCCTGTGGCGCCAGTGTTCTAACTCGCGCGCGTGCGAGCGCGACATCCGTCACAAGCTGGTCGCCAGCGCCTTTCACCGAAGTAAATCACCCCGAACTTTACACAACATGCCACCAACAAAAGCGCACGCCTCGTGATTTGCTGGTGGTCTTCTGCGCGATGGGCCGTGTGTGACCAAGCACGCAAACTTCCCAACTTGTGCAGCGTGGCGGCTATATTCGCCGCCGAGATGGCTCCATTAAGACAATTACGGTCTGTCCGCAAACTTTATAGACCTTCGCCGACAGCTGACATGTTTGTTGGCGGACACCTATCAGGCCGGGTCAAGTCAGACCTCTCAGGTCGGGTCAGCTATCAGAGAAGGGCGTGAGACGTGCTGTT